ATTCTTCTGTCCTTTCTAGCTAAGAAGGCCAAGGTTCAGAGAAGTTACCTGTGGGGCCAAAGTCACACAGCTGGGAAGTGCAGAACCAACATTCTAAGGAGATTTAGTCCCACTTTAAAATCTAAAGTCTTTTCTGAAGCCCATCTGTCCCCTGCTGGGCAGGCTGAGGGGCAGTGAGTGGCAATGTGGAATGTATTTCCAGGGGTGAGGGCTGTGCTTTCGGGTGTAGGGCTGGCTGCCCATGTGGTGCCTCCTGAGGGTGGAGGCTGCCAAAAGGTCAGAGTGTGAGTGTACGACACCACCCCCACCACCAGCCTTGAGTTCCTGCTTGGGAGAGGCTGTATGAGAGGTGACAACACCCAGCAGAAGCTGTCCTTAGAGAGGTGGCGGAGGGAAGGCAGTGAAACTGCATGACTGTAGCATTCCTGCCCATTTTTGAGCTATAGGGACTCAAATTATGTGATTTTACGAGGCTGTTGGAGGAAAGAATGGCCACAGAGGCCAAGAGGGCTGGGAGGACAAATCACATGAGCCCTGCCTTGGGTCAGTTTTTGCTTCTCTGCTGTCAGAGTGGAGTTGGTGTGAGCCGTGCCAAGCGCTGTGACTTGTGGCATCCATGAGAGAGGAGCACTAGCACCCACTTGCAGCTGACACCAGCCGGGGCCTCCCCAGCCTGCAGCAAAGCGGGTGATGACCTCTGTGACCTGCCTCTGCATACAACCTGGTGCGGTTCTGCTCCTTTTGTTTACCTACCCGTCTTCCTTTTAGCCTTGAAGGGAACTCATCTCCAAAGGTGCAGGTGATTTTATGTTTTATAGAAAGTTTTGTGGGAGACAACAAAAGGGGATACATCACGTCCGCATTGCAATACCTTCTGAAAATCAACTTTAAAGCGTCTCATTTCTCCCCAGATTCCTCTTCCAGCACTAGTTACCTCATTAAAACTCTAGGAGGCATTTTTCTTTTGGTGGAAATCAGCAAACAGACTGTAAAATTTATATATAAAGACAAAGGGCCAACAAAGGCCAAGATATGCTTAAAAAGGGATAAAATGGGAGAAATTACTCTACTGGATATCAAGACTTATATAGTAAAGCCACATTGAGTAAGACACTGTGTTATTGGTTCATGGAGAGATAAATAGGCCAGGGGTTGACAAACAGTGGCCTGCTCATGGCTGTCTGGCTCACCACCTGCCTTTGGGTGACCCACAAAGTAAGAATGGTTTTTACATTTTTAAATGGTGGAAAATAATCAAAATAAGAATTATATTTTATGGCACTTGAAAATTATGTGAAATTCAAATGTCATTGTCCACAAATGAAGTCTCATTGGATGGAACACATCCATGTCCATTTGTTTATGTACTTTCTATGGCTGCTTTCTTGCTACAGTGACAGAGTTGAGTAGCCATGACAGAGAATGTATGGTCCATAGAGTCCAAAATAGTTCATATCTGGCCCTTTGCAGAAAAAATTTGTTGACTCCTGAAAGAGACCAATGAAACAGAATAAAGTCACCTGATTTATGACTAAGGTAGCATTGCAGAGCAGTCATGGAAAGATTAATATTTCAACACGTGGTCCTGGGTAAATTGTATTTCCAAAATGAAACCTGATCCCTACCTCATAACATGTGCAAGAAAAGTTATTTCTGGGGGGGATTTAAAATGTAAATGTAAAAGGTAAACCAATAAGACTTCTAGAAGACGCTATATGACAAAATCTGCATCACTTTGGGTTAGGAAAAGACTTCTTATAAGGGCACAGAGATCGCTACCTATAGAGTAAAAGACTAGTCAGTTAGATTCCATTAAAACTGAGAACTACCATCCACCAAAACACACCATTAAGACAGTGAAAAGGTAAGTCACGTCGCAGGAAAAAATAGTTGCAAAGCAAATAATAATCAAAGGCCTCAAATTCAGAATATATAAAGAACTACAAATCAAAGTAGGAAATCTAAATGCTCAATGAATACATGAAAGGGTGTTCAGCCTCATTTGTTATCAGGGAAAATGAAAATAAAAACCAAAGTGAGATACCACTATACACCTCTCAGAATGACTAGAAATGAAAAGACTGACAAGCCTAAATGTTAGTGAGAAGGCACGTCCTATCACCCAGCAGTTCTACTCCTAGATATATGCCCAGCAAAAATGCTTCCACCCAAAAGAATGTACAAGAATGTTCAAGGCCTCACTATTTGGAATAACCAAAAACCCATTATCTGAACACCCATCAATGTAGAAAGCATAATGATATTGCGGTATATTTTTAGAATAGAATGCCAACTCCACAACACAAAGGACTAACTACTGATATATAACAAAACATTGATGAGTCCTGGCATTTGTGTTGAGTGAAAGAAGTCAAACACAAAAAAGGACATGTTATGATTTCATGTGTACAAAGTTCCAAAGTAGGCCAAATGAACCATGACTTAGAAGACAGAATGGTGGCTACCTTTGATTGGGGTGGTAATTGGGGAGGGATCTTCAGGAGTGCTGATAGTATTCCATTTTTGGATCCAGGTGATAGTATGGGTGTGTTCACTTTGAGATAATTCACCAAACCGCACCTTTCTCTATGCATACTGGTATGGAATGAATATTCATGTTCCCCCGTAATTCATATCTTGAGACCTAATTCCCAGTGTGATCGTGTTTGGAGATGGCACCTTTGGGAGGTGATTAGGTCTTGAGGGCAGTGCTCTCATGAATGGCATTAGTGTCCTTATGAAAGAGATCCCAGAGAGATCCCTCACTCTCTCCCTTCCAGCCATGTGAGGTTACTAGTAGAGGACGCTGTCTATAGATAAGAAGAGGGTTCTCATCAGTTGCTGCCACTGCCCGTGTCATGATCTTGGACTTCACAGCCTTCAGGACTGTGAGAAGTGGATTTCTGTTTTAAGCTCCTGGTCTGTGGTGCTCTATCATAGCAGCTCAAATGGATTAAGACATATACTATACTAAAATAAAAGGCTTACTTAAAATATATGTTAGATTTACCTTGTTACTTATGTTTAGAAATTTTATGTTATTCACACCTTCTGTATCCTTATTTTGTCTTTTTTATTTGACAAGGACTAAAAATGATATTGTAACAATTCCCATCCAGTTATGTTTTTGACTGCTTTTCATTGTATTGACTTCAGTTTTGGCTTTATATATTTCAGTGCTGTATTATTTGGTATATACAAATTGATGAGTATTTTACCCATGTTATATACAGTAAGGGACAATTAAACATTAATTATTAAGAAGTTAATTATTTTGAAATCTTTTGTCTCTTTTTATTCAACAAGTATTTATTGAGCACCATCGTGTTTCAGGGCACTGTCTTAGGCCCTTTTTCTCATCAGTAAAGTATTACAGTATTGACTGTGCATTGCACTCTCCCATTTTTCATCTTGCTAGTGTCATTGATAGTATACTTTCTTCATATTCTGTGCCTTATGTCAGTTTTGCACAATTTATTACTGATCAACTCTGAGGCACTGTCTGCCTCCATGCCTTATGTCTAACTTTACGCGAGCAGAATTAATACTTGTCATGTAACCTTCCTATAAATTGCAAAATATGTTAAGAAAACTTTTTATGATAAAGTAGTAATTCTGATTTATGGTAGAAATTTTGGAAAATATAGAAAAGTATATAGGATAAAAGAAAAAGCACTTTTAATCCCTGCAGCCAAAAGCAGCCATTGTCAATAGTTTGGTGTATTTCCTTCTAGTACTTTTTTCTACATATATTTTTCTGCGTTTTCCAAATTTTCCATAATGAACATGCTTTTGCATTTGTAATCAGGAAATGAACATTTGCAGCAACAGTGGAGTGCTATCACGCTCTTTGCAGGCTTGCCCAGAGAGAAAAAATGAGAGAATAAACGGTGGGATGGGTCTCCCCGCCGCCACTGCAGTGGCCCTGAGACGGGGACTTGATTGACTGAGGGGCTGCAGTCCTCGTGACTGTGCTCTGTTCCACATCTTCTTCTCTCCACCATCCAGGCTGCCTGAGTTCTTGGCAGATCAGAAAAGAACATAGACAACCTCTGGATGGCTTTGGAAGTGTCTGCTGAGAAATGCCACGTGTGACATTCACTCAACAATAATTCCTTAATGTTATCTCATACTGAGTCTGCGTTCCATTGTCCCCAATTGTCTCAAAAATGTCTTTTTACAATTAGTTTGTTAGAAGCAGTACCCAAAGAAGGACCACAGAGTCCTCTAACGTCTGACAACGTTTGCACTGTCGTTCCTTCTCAGGGCCTGTGCAGTCGGGTGCAGGGAGGCCGCTGCCCTGCGCACACCAGTCCTCAGGAGCGGACTCGGCTAGCACCCGCCCCCGGCGGCACCGAGCGGAGCAGGCGGCGGCGGTTCCCATGGAGATTCCGGCGTGCGGCCCTGATTGGCTAAGACGCTTCCGGCCCCCCCGCTCCGCCCCCGGCTCAGCGCCCCGGGAGCTGAGATTTTTCCGGGGCCTTCTGGGAAAAAGGGAAGTCTCTGAGAACGGAAGCGGAAGCGGAAGCGGCAGCGTGCAGCCCGAGAGCTTCTGGGAGTCGTAGTTCGGCGTCGGGCGCCCTGGGACGCCCAGGGCCGAACTGCGTGGGCGCCGCCGGTTGGACGCCGTCCCGGGAGGGCTGGCTGTAGCCTGGGTTCGCGTGAGGCCAGTGCGGCCTGGGCACGCGGTGCGGAGCGCCCAGCCCTGCGTTCTCATCCTTGTGCCGCCCGGGAGCCGCGGGCGCGCCTAGCTGGGGTCCGGCGGAGAACCAGCCGCCGTCCTGCGGAGGCCGCGAAGGCCCGGGCACCCTGCGCAGCGGGGCAGGCGGGAGAGGAGGAGGGAGGAGGGAGGAGGGAGGATGGGAAAGATGTGGGGGAGGGAGGTGGGGAGGAGGGAGCGGAGCGAGGAGGAGTGGAGGGGGTGGGGGAGGAAGAGGGAGGAGAGGAGGGAGGAGATGGGGAGATGGGAGGGGGGAGGAGGGGGGATCTCAGGAGGAGAGTCGAAAGGGGAGTCTGAACTGAGCCGAGCCGGGCGCTGTCTGACGGCAGCTTTGGGCGATGGGCCAGGTTCTTTATCTCTGGCCACAGCCTGCGACCCCGACGGTGAGTGTCTGCCAGAAGATTTGCTGGGTGACTCCAGATTTGACTTGAAACAATGGTTCTTTGGAGGATGGTGGAGTAGTTAACATTTATCCTTACACTGTAATGCTTTCTTAGATGTGTTTAACACTTGCTGAAAATTTTTGAGTACCAAGTCCTTGTTTGATTAAGGGAGCAGAGTATTGGCTTCCACGTTGTGGGTGACCGTTCATATTGTGTTCTCAGAGGTTTATATTCCTTAGAGAGGAAAGAGGAGCAGTTCTCTCCTGCTTTACCTCAGTATCTCTCTTGGGGCGGAACCTCTCCTGAGTCTGTGATTTCTGGAATGCTGTTGCCTCTAGTTAGTGATGCTCCCTGACGTCCACTCTGATCTTACGTCAGCTGTACAACACTGACCATGCCTTTCCAGCCAGTCTAACACCTCCCTCTGAGTCTGGTGGGAGTCTTCTCTGGTGTTGTATCTTGTCTTTTCTGTTGACTGGAGGACACAGTAAGCCTTTGTCTTTCAACACAAGGACTCTGGGAAACTCAGATCATGCGCTTTAACCACTGATGGTGCTACTGCTTTAAAAATTTCAAAAGATTAAATTTAAATGATGACAGTAGTGACTTTGTTGCGTATGTTCTTTTCCCATGAGAAGGATTCCCAGTCTGTAAAATTAGTCTCAACCCAGGGGAGAGTTGAGGAGATCCTGTGAGATGTTGAGGTCTCTGGAGGCACTCATTCAGATGAGGAATAAATCTGTAATGTATGATTTAGGGGTGAATGTTTAGAAGGAGTGGAATCCCTGAAAGGTCATCCAAGGAGCTCTCATTAGTGCCTTAAGTTCTGCTGTCCTGCTGCCCATATTTGGACCTATTCAGTTATTAGTCCTTGTACACTATTTTCCAGATGCAGTTTTTACAGTCCTCATAGCTTCTCTCCATGTGCTGTTGCTCTGCTGCTGCTTTTTTCTTGTTTTCTGATGTTGCTGTGCATCCCCCTCCTTACTTTGACTGAGTGTCTGTCCCTTCTCTTACTGAAGCTCTGCCCAGCCTCTAGGTTACTGTCGCAGTATAGTGGGCAAAGCCCAAGTTCTCTTTCTGACAATCCCACTAATGCCTCTGTGTCTTTAGGTTAATCACGTAACCTCTCTGGTTCTAAACTTGTTCATCTTTAAAATGAGGAGGTTAAACTTTTACATCTGTAAAGCACTTTTCCTTTTTCTGTAAAGCAGTTTTAAGAGTCTTTGTGATATTGCCTGTTGGGCCGGCCTCTTTCCTACCACATCTGCCTCTACTTAGCCCTACTCCCTTGGCTCTTATTATTTTCCAGATTATGAGACTGTTTATTTAATATGTATTGATTTTAGTAAGGTTATTTTCTTCCTCCTGAGTGCAGTTTCCCTTAGCCCAACACAGAAAGATGCTTTTATATGTTTTTTCCTTTCAGATTTGCAGACCAGAGTGGATGCCAAAGAGAGGACCATTAGAAAACAGTTTTGAGTGAGCACCCATCACTGTCATCATGGAAAGACTCAGAGGGGATGTGTCTCAAGGATGTTTACCTGAATAAGCCTGTGAATATGAGGCCAAGGTAGAAAAGCAAAGGGAGAACTCTTCTTGCAAAATTTCAAAAAAATCTCTTGCTCAAACCACTGGTTTTCAGCAAGTAGTAGTTGCCCATGAAGAAATATCCTTTGAGGAAAATGGACATAAGTTTAATGAATTTGAGAGAAGTTTTGATCTAAGATCTAAACTTATTCCACAGCATATTATTCATTCAGAAGAGAAACCACAGATGCTTGATCCATTTGGGAAAAGTGTCAAGTGGAACCTATCTCCAAGTAGAAGGCAAAGAAATCCTAAAAAGAAAACTTACAATTGTAGTGAATGTGGAAGAAGTTTCAGTGACAGTTCAAATTTTATTCATCATCAGAGAATTCATACTGGCGAGAAACCTTACAAATGTGACGACTGTGGAAAAGCTTTTAGCCAGAGTTCCTCTCTTACTGAACATCAGAGAACTCATACTGGAGAAAGACCCTATAAATGTAAAGTTTCTGGAAAAGCATTCACTGTAAAGTCATCTCTTATTCAACATCAGAGAATTCATACTGAGGAGAAACCTTATAAATGTAACGAATGTGGGGAAGCCTTTAGTGACTACTCGTCCTTTATTCAACATCGAAGAATTCATAGTGGCGAGAAACCCTATGAATGTAGTGATTGCAGGAAGTCCTTCACTGATATTCCATCTCTTACACAGCATCAGAGAATTCACACTGGAGTGAAACCCTATAAATGTAATGATTGTGGGAAGGCATTCAGACGAAGTACACACCTTACCCAAGATCAGAGAACTCATACTGGGGAAAAGCCTTATAAATGTCATGAATGTGGAAAAGCATTCACTGCCCACTCGACCTTTACACAACATCAAAGGATTCACACTGGAGGAAAACCCTATATGTGCAGTGAATGTGGGAAGGACTTCCCTGAGAATTCATCCCTTACTAAACATCAGCGAATCCATACTGGAGAAAAACCGTATGAATGTAATCAATGTGGTAAATCTTTTAGCCAGAGCACTCACCTTATTCAACATCAGAGAATTCGTGCTGGGGAGAAACCCTTTAAATGCAGTGGATGTGGAAAAGCATATAGTAACAGCTTGGTCCTGATCAGACATCAGCAGCTCCACACTTTAAAGTCATACTGAGGGTGTTACAGTCTTGTGGACCACATCATCCTTTCTCGACCTACTCTTACCCATGCTGCCCTCTCTTCTGGTCACCATTATAATCTCTAGGAATGTTGTACTCCTGGGATAAAAAAAAAAATAGCATTACATAATATTTCTTTTAAGTTCCACCCACCAAAGCTGTTAACAGCAGCAGTTTGAATAGATTATACTGGTTCTCCTATGTCTGTCCTCGGGCTGTATGGTCGATACTCCATCTCCCTGGAGTCTCCTCTGAATGCTAACCACTTCGCCAGATGGCCAAGGTGAAAGGCTGCCTGTCATGAAAGGCTCTCACCATGGGCTTTGGAATCATTCTCTCAGGCCCTAATGACCTTTCATTTCTGGGTCTTTTCACTCTATTAAAACAACTATGCAAGTGATTTATATATTTGGCCATATTTCCCAGTTCTTTGCTCTGCTTGCCCAAAATACCATTGGTTCATCAGGCTGGGATTAAGTAGAAAAAAAATTATACAATAATGCTTGGAATCATTCTATATTGGCAATTTGGTTTATGTATCCACCTGTTGAGTCCTTTCAACCAGATCATGTAAAAGATTGGACCATCTAAAAAGTTCACTGGTCTTTTAAAACTCCAAGACTAGTCTTATGGCTGCCTACATCTTTCCAGTCATCCAGAATCCACAATATTTTTCATATATCTGTTTCCTTTCAACTTTGACATTACCACCCACTTATGGTCACCATGGCTGCCCACACCCATGTATTAGTCAAAAAGGTGAAGAAATTCGGCATTCATTCTATTTCCCAAGTCACCATCAGTGTAGCTGACTTGGCTTCTTGTTAGACTGGGGCCAAAGATCAAATCTGGGACCTGACTTCCCACCTATATGCCCTATGACTCATAGTGGCATTTTATTACTGGTAAGCAACCAACCCTTTGCCCTGGTCCACTCACTGGGGCCAGAATTAAAGGTAGAAATGGAATGAAAATGACTGTTGCTCAGTGTGAGCAGAGCCAAGCCTCTGAGAGTGGACCTGGAGCCTTAGCTGACTTCACCATATTGTGATGTCTTTAGACTCACTGTTAGGGCAGCTGATACACAAACTCATCATGCTGCCCTGTCTTGTAGTTTGGAAACCTGCTCTGCATGACTTTTTATCTCAGCTTCCTTGTTTGGTGTTAGTTCTACTGCCACCTGACTTTGTGGTCAGTTTGCTTTGTGTCTGGTTCCTGCTGGTGATTTTCTATTCTTAGTTAAAGGAAATTCACTGGCTCCCTGATGTTAATCTCAGGTGTGCTGCACTAGGTATTGCTCTTAGATGTTTTGCTGTTCTCTGGGCACCAGCTTCTCATTAACATTTTCGGCCTGATTCCTCTTGAGTGGTTTTATTGCCCTGGTTCACCCTTGTTTGTGATTCTCTGGCACCATGTGTGCCTCCGTTATGGAGCTCCCACATGTAGTGAGTGAGATGCTTGTCTGTTAGACTGTCTGCTGCCTGATTCATCTTTGTGTCTCTAGTCTCCAAAAGACTGATTGGCCTAGAGTTGCTGCTCAATAAAAACTTTTTAATAAGTGATATACCTTCGTAGTTGCCACTGTCACAACCCAACTGAACACATTGTTACTGGAGAGTCTTTGAGGCTGTAGAAGCTCCTTGGGCTAGATTCATCTAGCCAAGGTGCGTACCTTGGCTGTCGTGTCTGTCCTTTGGTATGGTTTGTATGAGAGATAAGTCAGTGTGAAGTCACACAATACTGTGGTTAAGTGCTTGGGCCCTGGAGTCAAGACTGCCCAGGTTTGAGGTCCCACCTGGCATTTACAGGTGGCTCATGTTGCTCTTCTCTACACTTCACTTTCCTGATTTATGTAATTGGGGTAACCTAGTATCTACCTTATAATAGAGTTGTGACTGGTACACTTGGAGAACTTAGCACAGTGCCTGTTACATAAGAATTGCTTATTAGCTAGTCTTGTTTGGACCCTGTGCACCTGCCTGGTGACTGATCTACCTGCTCATCTAGACCCAGAATACAGCTTATCTCTTGCTTTTCCATTCCCAATATCCAGCCTTCTCTGTATGATATGTTGTCATTACTAATTGTTTAACACTGGCCTGAATCCATAAGATCTTCCTTTGAACTCACTGCCCCTTCTAGGCACCAATTTCTTTCCTTTTTGCTGCTTAAATCGAATGAATGGTCTGCAGGCCCTGAGGTGGCTTCTCTTGTTTCTTGAGTGTTAGCTTTGGCTCCAGTACTGTGCTCCTTGAAGAGATGGGCTATGTAGTCCTTCTGTATCCTCTACAGTTGCCAGCATAGTGCTTAATGCAGATAGATTCTGAGTAAATACTTGGTTACTATTTGATGAGCATGAGGATCCACACCAGCCCGGCAAGAGACCCCGCAGAGCAGTTATCAGCACCTTAGAGGTGCTGTACTCTCAACTCCCTGATTTGACAAAAACTATTTGTTATAAGAATGCTAGGGTGTCTCAGAGTATCTAAAGACAAGAATGTGTCAGTGTCTAGAGCAACTAGAGCCAGAATTCTAACACATAGAGATAGTCTCTGTGAATGATTTCCTTGCTCCTGCTGCAGGCCTGAGTTCTGTGTGGCAGGAAGCCTGGCTGCTCATAGCTCTTAGGGTTTGTGTCACAGTGTCAATCATCCAAAGGCACTGCATTGCTCCTGATTTTCTGCGTGCCTCTTGATCTATCAGTTACTGACAAAGGAATGTTGACGTCTCCAAATATAATCGTGGATTTGTATATTCTCTTTTCACTTCTATCAATGTTTTCCTCCTAGATTTTGACACTGTTTTGTTAGGTGCGTGCACATTTGGATTGCTATGCCTTCTTGGAGAATTGGCCTCTTTATCATTACTGATGCCCCTCCTTATCCTTATGTATCTTCCTAGTTTTGAAATTGGCTCTGTCTGAAATTAATATAGCTACGCCAGCTCTTGGTGGTGTTAGCATGGTCTGTTTGTCTCTGTTCCTGTACTTGAACATATCCGAGCTGTTATATTTAAAGTGTGTTTCTTGAGGACGTCAGTGTTGGATCGTGTGTCTTTATCTGCTTTCACAGGGTCTGTCTTTTAATTGGCACATTTAGACTGTCATGCTTAGAGAGACTGATGATCTAGTGAGATTGGTATGTACCATTTTACTGTTTTGTGCACTGTTCTTTGTTTCCTTCTTCCCTCTTTTCCTGCCTTATCTGGTTTTAACTGAGAATTTTATGATTCCATCTTATATCTTCTAGCATATCAGTCATATCTTTTAAAGACATTTTAGTAGTTGCCTTAGAGCTTGCAGTATACATTTTTAACTAAGTCCCCCTTTACATGGAGCTGTATTGCTTCGTGTAGTGGAGGCAACACAGACCAGGGCATTCTCAGCTTCTCCCTCCTTCCCTTTTTTTCTCCCTCAATCCTTTGTGGCGTGGCAGCCATTCGTTTCACTTGCCCATGTGCTGTAATTGCCTGCTGCACTGTTATTACAGCTTTAAATAAGCAGTTATCTTTGAGATTAATTAAGAATAAGGAATAAAATATTTTTATTTTACCTTTAATTTCTTCATTTCTTTATGTAGATCTACATTTCTGACCTAAATTTTTCTCCTGCCTGAATCATTTCTTTTTTTTTAATTGAGTTAATGATAGGTTACAATCTTGTGAAATTTCAGTTGTACATTAATGTTTGTCATTCGTTTTGTAGGTGCACCACTTCACCCTTTGTGCCCACCCCCCACCCCACCTTTCCCCTGGTAGCTACTAATCTGTTCTCTTAATCCACGTTTTTAAATTCCTCATATGAGTGGAGTCATACAGAGATTATTCTTCTCTAACTGGCTTATTTCACTTAACATAATTCCCTCAAGGTCCATCCATGTTATTGCAAATGGAATGATTTTGTTCTGTTTTGCAGCTGGGTAGTATTCCATTGTGTATATATACACCACATCTTCTTTATCCAATCATCTGTTGATGGGCACTTAGGTTGCTTCCATGTCTTGGCGATTGTAAATAATGCTGCAATGAACATTGGGGTGCATAGGACTTTTGGATTTGCTGACTTCAAGCTCTTTGGATAGATACCCAGTAGTGGAATGGCTGGATCGTATGGTAGTTCTATTTTTAATTTTTTGAGGACTCTCCATACTGTTTTCCATAGTGGCTGCACCAATTTGCATTCCCACCAGCAGTGTATGAGGGTTCTTTTTTCTCCATAACCTCTCCAACATTTGTTACTATTAGTTTTAGATATTTTTGTCATTCTAATGGGTGTCAGCTGGTGTCTCAGCGTAGTTCCCTGATGATCAGTGATGATGAGCATCTTTTCATGTGCCTATTGGCCATCCGTATATCTTCTTTGGAGAAATGTCTGTTCATGTCTCCTGCCCATTTTTTGATCAGGTTGTTTGATTTTTTGTTGTTGTTGAGTTGTGAGAGTTCTTTATATATTATGGATATTAAGCCTTTGTCAGATATATGACTTGCAAATATTTTTTCCCAGTTAGTGGGTTGTTTTTTTGTTTCAATCCTGTTTTCATTTGCCTTGAAGAAGCTCTTTAGTCTGATGAAGTCCCATTTGTTTATTCTTCCTATTATTTCCCTTCTCTGAGAAGACATGGTGTCCGAAAAGATCCTTTTAATACTGATGTCAAAGAGTGTACTGCCTACGTTTTCTTCCAGAAGCCTTATGGTTTCAGGTCTCACCTTTAGGTCTTTGATCCATTTTGAGTTTATTTTGGTGAATGGTGAAAAAGAATCGTCAATTTTCATTCTTTTACATATGGCTTTCCAGTTATCCCAGCACCTTTTCTTGAAAAGACTTTCTTTTCTCCATTGTATGCCCTCAACTCCTTTGTTGAAGATAAGCCATCCATAGATGTGTGGTTTTATTTCTGGGCTTTCACTTCTGTTCCATTGATCTGTGCACCTGTTTTTGTACCAGCACCATGCTATTTTGATTACTGTAGCTTTGTAGTATGTTTTGAAGTCATGGATTGTGATGCCTCCCGTTTTGTTCTTTTTTCTCAGGATTGCTTTAGCAATTCGGGGTCTTTTGTTGCCCCATATGAATTTTAGGATTCTTTGTTCTAATTCTGTAAAGAATGTCATTGGGATTCTGATTGGGATGGCGTTGAATCTGTAGATTGCTTTTGGTAGAACAGACATTTTAACTATGTTTGTTCTTCCAATCCATGTGCATGGAATGTCTTTCCATCTCCTTATGTCCTCATCCAATTCTCTCAGAAAGGCATTGTAATTTTCATTATATAGGTCCTTCACTTCCTTAGTTAAATTTACCCTGAGGTATTTTATTCTTTTTGTTGCGATTGTGAATGGTATTGTGTTCTTGAGTTCTTTTTCTGTTAGTTCATTATTAGACTATAGAAATGCTACTGATTTATGCAAATTGATTTTATACCCTGCAACTTTGCTGTAGTTGTTGATTACTTCTAAGAGTTTTCCAATGGATTCTTTGGGGTTTTCTATATATAAGATCATGTCATCTGCAAACAGCGAGAGTTTCACTTCTTCCCTCCCTATTTGGATTCCTTTTATTCCTTTTTCTTGCCTGATTGCTCTGGCCAGGACCTCCAGTACTATGTCAAATAAGAGTGGTGATAGAGGGTATCCTTGTCTCATTCCTTTTTTCAGGGGGATGACGCTCAGTTTTTGTCCATTGAGTATGATGTTGGCTGTGGGTTTGTCATATATGGCCTGTATTATGTTGAGGTAGTTCCCTTCTATGCCCATTTTGTTCAGAGTTTTTATCATAAATGGCTGTTAGATCTTGTCAAATGCTTTCTCTGCATCTAATGAGATGATCATGTGGTTTTTATTCCTCAGTTTGTTGATGTGGTGTATCACGTTGATTGATTTGCAGATGTTGAACCATCCCTGTGTCCCTGGTATGAATCCCACCTGGTCATGATGCATGATCCTTTTGATGAATTGCTGAATTCTGGTTGCCAAAATTTTATTTAGAATTTTTGCATCTATGTTCATCAGTGATATTGGCCTGTAGTTCTCTTTTTTCGTGGTGTCCTTGTCAGGTTTTGGTATCAGTGTGATGTTGGTCTCATAGAATGTGTTAGGAAGTGTTCCATCCTCCCTAATTTTTTGGAATAGCTTGAAAAGGATAGGTATTAAATCCTTTCTGAAAGTTTGGTAGAATTCCCCAGGAAAGCCATCTGGTCCTGGGGTTTTATTCTTTGGGATGTTTTTGATTGCTGTTTCAATCTCTTTCCTTGTGATTGGTCTGTTCAAATTGTCTGCTTCTTCTTGAGTAAGCTTTGGGAGATTGTAGGAGTCCAAGAATTTATCCATTTCCTCTAGGTTATCCATTCTGTTGGCATATAGTTTTTCGTAGTATTGTCTTATAATCCGCTGTATTTCTGCAGAGTCTGTTGTTATTTCTCCTCTTTCATTTCTGATTTTGTTTATTTGAGCTTTCTCCCTTTTCTTTATAAGTCTGGCTAGGGGTTTGTCAATTTTATTTATCTTCTCAAAGAACCAGCTCTTTGTTTCATTGATCCTTTCTACCACCTTTTTCATTTCAATAGTATTTATTTCTGCTCTGATTTTTATTATTTCTCTCCTTCTGGTGACTTTGAGCTTTATTTTTTCTTTTTTCTCTAGTTCAGTTAGGTGTAGTTTAAGATTGCTTACTTGGGATTTTTCTTGTTTGTTAAGATGTGCCTGTATTGCGATGGATTTTCCTCTTAATACAGCTTTTGCTGTATCCCATATGAGTTGGTATGGCATGTTATCATTTTCATTTGTTTCCGGGTATTTTTTGATTTCTTCTTTAATTTCTTCAATGATCCATTGCTTATTCAGTAGCGTATTGTTTAGTCTCCACATCTTTGTGCCTTTCTCAGCTTTTTTCTTGTAATTAATTTCTAGCCTTACAGCATTATGATCGGAGAAGATGCTTGTTATTATTTTAATTTTTTAAAATTTGTAGAGGCTTGCCTTGTTTCCCAACATCTGGTCTATCCTTGAGAATGTTCCGTGTGCACTTGAGAATAATGTGTATTCTGCTGTTTTAGGATGAAGTGATCTATATATGTCTATTAAGTCCAATTGTTTTAGTTTTTCATTTAGCTCCACTATTTCCTTGTTGATTTTCTGTCTGGATGATCTGTCCATTGATGTGAGTGGGGTGTTGAGGTCCCCTACTATTATTGTGTTGTTTTTAACATCTTCCATTAGGTCTGTTAATAGTTGCTTCATGAACCTTGGTGCTCCTATGTTGGGTGCATAGATATTTATAAGCGTTATTTCTTCTTGATGAAGTGTCCCTTTGATCATTATATATTGTCCCTCTGTGTCTCTCTTTACCTGTCTTATTTTGAAATCTGCTTTGTCTGATATAAGAATTGCAACACCTGCTTTTTTTCCCCTTGCTATTAGCTTGAAGTATTGTCCTCCACCCTTTCACTCTGAGCCTGTGTTTGTCCTTGGAGCTGAGGTGTGTTTCCTGGAGGCAACAAATTGTTGGATCTTGTTCTTTAATCCATTTTGCCACTCTGTGTCTTTTTATTGGAGAGTTCAATCCGTTTACATTAAGAGTGATTATTGATGCATGTGGACTTAATGCTGTCAATCTGTTGCTCATTATCTGGATTTCCTGCATTTCTTTTCCTGTGTGCTTTAGCCTACCCATTTAATCCTGCAATTTCTTATGCTGGGTTTCTTAGATTTTTCCTTATTTATGTTTTGTGGCTCTGTTCTGTTTTTTAGTTTAGTGGCTACCCTGAAGTTTGTATTTAGAATCTCGTGTATAATATAGTCTGTTCCCTGGTGGTCTCTTACTTTCTTGGCCTAGACTGATTTAGTCCCTTTGCTCTTCCCCTCCTAAATTATTATTTTAATTTCTTATTCCAACTCGTGTTATGAGTTTTTAGTTAGAGTGATAAGATTGTTTTGCTTTGATAGTTTCCTTGCCTTTATCCTAATGCTGTAGTTGAATATTTGCTATCCTGTTCTGTTTCTATCCATCTGTCTCCCTACTCTGTGGTTTGTGACCCCTTTCTCCCTTTTTTCTTTTTTCAGGTATGAGAGCCTTCTTGAGGATTTCTTGTAGTGGAGGACTTTTAGTTGCAAATCCCCTTAACTTTTGTTTGTCTGGAAAAGATTTAATTTCTCCCTCATATCTGAAGGCTATTCTTGCTGGATAGAGTATTCTTGGCTGTAGATTTTTATCTTTTAAAGTTTTGAATATGTCACTCCCTTCTCTCCCAGCTTGTAAGGTTTCTGTAGAGAAATCCGCTGAAAGTCTGATAGGGGTTCCTTTGTAGGTAATTCTCTTCTATCTTGCTGCCCTGAGTATTCTTTCTTTCTCTTTCATTTTTGCCATTTGTACTACTATATGCCTTGCAGTAGGTCTTTTTACATTGACAAATCTAGGAGATCTGAAAGCTTCCTCTGCACACATTTCTCCCTCAATCCCTAGATTTGGGAAGTTCTCTTCTATAATTTCATTAAGCACACTTTCTGCTCCATTTTCCTTTCCCCCGTTCTCGGGAATTCCTATGATCCTTAAATTCT